AGGCTAGGGGTGGAGGGAGAATGGGGTCCTCTCCTATCATTTTCTAAATGTTGGGGTTTTAAATCTCGATGTGTCTGGGTTCCTTGGGAACTTAATGGGGGGAGGGGCAGACACTGCAAGCCAAAAGCATTTCTCTGTGCACAGCGGGCCTCTGGGCCTGGAGAGGGGGGACAGGAGCCCAGAGAGTCTGCTGCCTCCGGTGCTGCTTCGGCCCCCCCAAGAAAGTGTGGAGACTGCAGGGCCTCTAGATGTAAGTACCCCTTCTGCTGAAGCAGAGGCAAGAGGCCTGGTGGGGTCTCGCTCTCTGTGCAGCCTGGGGAGGGCACCAGTGACCCAGAGCTCTCCTCAGGTGCTAGGTCCCAGTCTCCAAGGGCGAGAATGGACCCTGATGGACTTGGACATGGAGCTGTCCTTGGTAAGAAGAGGGTTGGGGAAGGCAGAGACCAGGTGGCTGAGCCAAGCCCTCTGGTCCATGGCTGTTCTCTGTGAGCTGGAGCCGTGTCTCCAGGAGGACTGCTGCAGCTGCCCACTTAGCTGCTAGATCCCTTCCCAGCTGCTCCCTGTGGTTCTCACATGCAGATGCAGCCCTTGGTTCCAGAGCGGGGTGAGCCTGAGATGTCGGTCAAGGGATTAAATTCTCCAAGCCCAGGTAATGGTTGTGATGACTCCCACCTAGGAGAAGGGCTTGATTGGGCTGAGCTACCTTGATTGAGCAATGGGGCAATCTGAACTTTGCAGGGAAATTCCAAGTTCAGACTGCCCTGCAGAGAGTTCCTTGAGCCACCCATGCCCTCACCACTGGGTGAGAGTGGGGAGGTTAAGAATGGATGTTTCATCCTAACTGAGCAGAAAGCAGGTGGGCAGGGCTCTCCTTCCCTGATGAAAGGAGGGGGAACCTTTCCCTTCGTGAACACTGCCCAACTTCTCCTAGGGAAGGACCCCACGTTGGGGGCGCCACTCTTGCTGGATGTCCAGGCAGCCTTGGGAGGCCCAGCCCTGGGTTTGCCTGGGGCTTTAACCATTTACAGCACCCCTGAGAGCCAGACCGCCTCCTACTTGGGCCCGGAAGCCAGTCCCTCCCCCTAAGACCCTGGCCTCTGAAGGGGGCTCGAGTCAGTCCGCAGCTGCACACCCTTTTTGGCTTCCTGGCGCCCCCTGGCGGGGGTGAGCGAAGCCCCCACTACTCATCGTCCTCTCTCCACTACCCCGATTAGCCCTGCACATAAACTCCATTTTTTTTTTTCTGTTTCTGGTCTCTTTTCTCTATCGGCCAGGGAGCACAGGAGTTGTGGATGGGGGTGATTTTGCATTTGTAGACGCGTTCAGTTACTAGGTCTTTAATAGAGGAACCCCGGTAGGGTGGAGATGGTTGGGGATCTGGTGCCTAGCTCCCCTGCCTAGGCCGGGATCCAGGGCAGGCGCTGGGCCGATGCAATCTCTGGGAAACGGGGGCTTCTGGGTCACATTCAGCTCTGCAATGCATGCGTTCTGTGATCCTGGGTGAGTCAGTACCCCTCTCTGAGCTTCCTCTGTGACAGGCAGGGAAGAGGGGTCGATGACAGGATAGATGCAAAGCACCTGGAAATTGGCAGGCCCTGAGTGGGCATTGGACGTGTGGGGCCGCGGGCCGAACTGACCCCTCCTGGCCTCATCTCCCGGTGCACCCCGGTTGGGGAGGGAAAGCTGACTACGTGCACGTCCCCAGCCAGCGCGCGGCCTCCGCGGCGTGGCTCCCAGTGCCCGGGGAAGAACCCTCACCCTCCCTATTCCCAGCAGCCCTGGCCGCCCCGCCCCCGCCGCAGCTGCTGCACCCACCCCCACCCTGCCCGGCCCTTTCTGCACCGTCATCTCCTGCCCCGCCGAGGTTCGACCCGTGAGTGGGGCCGCCCAAAACGGGCCAGACCGGGAGCCCCACTCCCGGCTGGGGGAGGGAAGGGAAACCGAGATTGGGCAGAATCAGCGCACCACTGGGTTGGGGAGGTCTGTGGGCCCCGCCCTGCCGCTGGACTCTCAGGCTCTGGGACTGAGTGGAGGGAGGTAAGGGGATCCGTGCGGTCGTACATCCGCAAAGGCTCCGCAGTGTCCCCAGACCCTGGCTCCCCGGCCAAAGAGCCCGAGCATCGAGCTGGGGTTGGAGTCTGGGACCAAGCTCCACGCGCTCGCCACCACCAGGCTCTCTGGGAAACATCTGACCCGTCGCCCTCGAAGGACTGACCGCTAAATAACTTCGGTATTGAGAACTGTTAAATCCTCAAAGGGAGAGCCCAGACCAGCTGGAAAAAGGGCAGGACTTGGGGTCATAGGAGGAGAAAGCTAACATGAGAACAATTTAGGCTGGAGTAGAGAGGAGGGGCCAATCCAATCTGCACCCTCCCTGTGTCTGTCCCGAGTAGGTACTCTCCCCCTCTCCCTTCCTGTGCCCACCGATTGGAGGGACACTGGAAGCCTCAGCTGAAGAAAACAGAGGATCTGCGTGTATACAATGCAGTGATATTGGTTATGTGGTGGTGAGGGCATATGTTTGTTTACTGGGTACACAGAAGAACCACCTGCCCTTGGGACACTTAGGCGTTGGTGTAGACAAGGGAACATTTGAGTCGTGGAGGATGGATAGGTCCATGAAGTGGAGGGAGGGGAAAAGGATTCCAGTCTTAGGGCATCAGCAAAGGCTCCAAGGTGCCAAGGCCATAATGAGTTCTCCCAGCCCTGACTGGTGGAGGGAAGCTGGGAAGGACCTGGCTGTCCAGGGTGGTGGGAGGAGGTTAGAGTAGCCAGACCAGATAGTTAAGGTCTGATAGGCAGTGGGGTGGGGTGGGGGGAGGTAGATAGATATTTAGGATGGGATTTTGCTAGACAGGAGAATATAGTTCAGTTCCTCATAGCTCAGGCTGGGGCAAGTAAGATTCCAGTTTTACCACTGAATCTCTGAGCCTATCTCCTCATCTGTAAAACGGGAACAGTAATCCTAGCCCAGAAAGTTGTCAAATTCACTGTGCTGTGGGGTCTAGTGGAATGGGAGTGAGAGGGCCTCAGACGGACTGTTACAGGACATGAGGTGACCATGGTGGGGTGGTGAGGCAGCAGCTGATGGATACTCACTGAGAAGTGGAGAAGCAAGACCTGTCACAGAAGGGACATAAAGAGAGACGGAGGTGGCTCGTGTCTGTAATCCCAGCACTTCAGGAGGCTGAGGCAGGTGGATCACCTGAGGTCAGGAGTTTGAGACTAGCCTGACCAACATGAAGAAACCCTGTCTCTACTACAAATGCAAACTTAGGTGGGCATGGTGGTTCATGACTGTAATCCCAGCTACTCAGGAGGCTGAGGCAGGAGAATCACTTGAACCCGGGAGGCAGAGGTTGAGGTGAGACAAGATTTTGCCATTGCCTTCCAGCCTGGGCAACAAGATCAAATCTCTGTCTCAAAAAAAAAGAGGGAGAGGGAGAGAGAGAGAGAGAAAGGGAGGGGCAGGGAGTAGTTCTGGTCTCAGCTTGGTAGCCCAGGAGGAAGGGCTTCAATGGGCAGGAGCCAGGGTGTGAAGTGACAGGAGCGATATAGTGTGACACCAGAGGGTACTGAGAGAGACCTGGGAGGCAGGATGGGGGCTAGAACCAAATCCTTTCTCCCAGAGAAGGCCCAGCCTCCTAGAGTCAGAGGAGGAGGCAGAGAAGGGACAGCAAAGGGAAGAGGAGATGGAAGGATGTTGTGTGAACAAAGGCAAGGCAGGGAGGAGGGGAGGTTATTATTATATATATAATAATATATATGTTAATATATAATAATATATATGTTAATATATATGTTTATATATATATATATATTATGGGGGCGGGGGTGAGCTGAGGCCATGGTCCAAAGCCGGCTGTCTTTGCCTCCTAATGCCAGGGGTCTTGCTGGCTGCATCAGGCCACTCACAGGAATGGGCCATAATCCTCGGTTGGGAATAAATGGACAAAGCAGCCAGGTGCGGTGGCTCACACCTGTAATCCCAGAACTTTGGGAGGCTGAGGCAGGCAGATCACAAGGTCAGGAGTTCGAGACCAGCCTGGTCAACATAGTGAAACCCCGTCTCTACTAAAAATACAAAAAATGGCCGGGTGTGGTGGCTCAAGCCTGTAATCCCAGCACTTTGGGAGGCTAAGGCGGGTGGATCACGAGGTCATGAGATTGAGACCATCCTGGTCAAAATGGTGAAACCCTGTCTCTACTAAAGATACAAAAAATTAGCTGGGCATGGTGGCACATGCCTGTAATCCCAGCTATTTGGGAGGCTGAGGCAGGAGAATTGCCTAAACCCAGGAGGCGGAGGTTGCAGTGAGCCGAGATCGTGCCATTGCACTCCAGCCTGGGTAACAAGAGTGAAACTCCGTCTCAAAAAAAAAAAAATACAAAAAATTAGCCAGGCATGGTGGTGAGTGCCAGTAGTCCCAGCTACTCAGGAGGCTGAGGCAGAAGAATTGCTTGAACCCAGGAGACAGAGGTTGCAGTGAGCCAAGACCATGCCACTGCACTCCCCAGCCTGGGCCACAGAGTGAGACTGTCTCAAAAAAAAAAAAAAAAAAAAAGGACCAAGCAGATTAATTTTCTCTAATAGCTGCTGTTTGGTAGAGATAGTCTCTCATGAGCCAGGTGTGGTGGTGCATGCCTGCAATCTCAGCACTTTAAGAGGCCAAGGCAGTGGATCGCTTGAAGTCAGAAGTTCAAGACCAGTCTGGCCAACATGATGAAACCCTGTCTCTACTAAAAATACAAAAATTAGCCAGGCATGGTGGTGCACACTTGTAATCCCAGCTACTCTGGAGGTTGAGGCATGAGAGTCACTTGAGCCGGGGAGACTGAGGTTGCAGTGAGCCCAGATTGTAGCACTGTACAACAGTGAGACTCCATCTCAAACAAACAAAAAACCATACAGTCTCTCAAAATAGGGAGATCCATGGAGGAAAATCCAAGTTCGGTGAGCATTTGTTGGTAGCTTGTATGAGCTAGGCCTTCTGTACTTTAAGATCAAACAAAATGTTTGTAGGTCATTCCCAGGTCAGCAGGGAGACAGCTGGGTCTCAGGTGATATCAAGAGATCTTGGTCAGAGCTAGGCCTGAAAAAGATTCTGGTATCTCTGCTCAGGAATCAGGGGACCAGGAAGGGTCATGAGACCACATTGGGGTTGCAGTATGGCGGTGGTGTTGGTGAGAGGATGCAGGGACACCCTGCTTGGAAGGGCTTGTCTTGGAAAGTTGCATCTCAGGGTCAAGGTAAGGGAAGAGGGGCAGGGAGGCTGTCAGCACTTTGTGCTCTGGGTGCAGAGAGGACTGGAGGGGAGAGTATGGAAGCAGGGAGCTCTGATCCCAGGTTCTGCAGGGCCAAAACAGGAGGCAGAAGGCTGGACTTCGTAAGTGCTGAGGATGGTGAGAGAAATATTCGGCAGACAGACTGGAAAGGACTTGTCTGCAAGCTGAGTGTGGAGTATCAGCTTCAATCCTATGTTTTTCTGCCTGGATAGGTGGGGAAGTAGATTTGAGAGAAAGACGATAGTTTGGATAAACAGGGTCTGAACCCAGCTCAGATCTGCCGGGGCTGGAGCTCAGAAGGTCCTGGTTGGGGAGGGCATTCAGACAGTAGATGCGAGTCCTGGGAGAGGCAGGGGAGGAGAGGAGAGCCACAGCTGACGTTTAGGGACAGAAGGAGGAGCCTGAGGAGGAGACAGGACAGAAGCGTCTGGAGAGGCAGGACGCTGAGTTCCCTGTGTTGGCCTCCAGGTCCTGTGCTTGCGGAGCTGACTGGAGGCTGGCATCGAGGTGAACTTAGACCCCAGTCTGGGTGTTCACTGGGGGCATTGAGAGACAGAGGTCAGAGGCGGCGCGGAGCAGGGAGGGCAATCACCTATTACTTCTCTCCCCTCTCCCCAAGCAGCTCCAACGATGGGCAACGCGCAGGAGCGGCCGTCGGAGACTATCGACCGTGAGCGGAAACGCTTGGTCGAGACGCTGCAGGCGGACTCAGGGCTGCTGCTGGACGCGCTGCTGGCGCGGGGCGTGCTCACCGGGCCTGAGTATGAGGCGTTGGATTCACTGCCTGATGCCGAGCGCAGGGTGCGCCGCCTACTGCTGCTGGTGCAGGGCAAGGGCGAGGCTGCCTGCCAGGAGCTGCTGCGCTGTGCCCAACGTACCACGGGCACACCGGACCCGGCCTGGGACTGGCAGCACGTGGGCCCGGGTGAGCGCGCGGGGCCGGGCATAGGGGAGGGAGGGGGCGGAGCAAAGGTCCGGGGAGGGCGGGGTTGTCGTCTCCCCCTGAAGCAGGCGAGTGTGGAAACAGCATCGGGGTCAATTGAGTCTCAGTCACTTCCACTTCCGTCCCAGGCTACCGGGACCGCAGCTATGACCCTCTGTGCCCAGGCCACTGGACGCCTGAGGCACCCGGCTCAGGGATCACATGCCCCGGGCTGCCCAGAGCTTCAGACCCTGAAGAGGCCAGGGGCCCTGAGGGCTCCGAGGCGGTGCAATCCGGGACCCCAGAGGAGCCAGAGCCAAAGCTGGAAGCCGAGGACTCTGAAGAGGCTGAACCCGAGCCGGAGCCGGAGCTGGAACCCGAGCCGGAGCCGGAGCTGGAACCCGAGCCTGAGGCAGAACCAGAGCCGGAACTGGACCCAGAACCCGACCCAGAGCCCAAGCCTGACTCAGAGCCGGAGCCCGACTTCGAGGAAGGGGACGAGTCCGAAGGTGTGAGGCCACCGAAACCCTGAGCTGGTTTTGCGGGAGGGTATCGCCTGGGGAGCGGATGGCGGGCCCCACCTCCTTGACAACTGTCCCGGTCATCTCTAGATTCCTGAAGGCCAGAGCACTGACCGGCTGTGCACCGCCCATGCTGGATAGGACCTGGGATGCTGCCGGAGCTGGATCAGATGCCACCAAGGCTCGGTCCAGCCCAGTACCGCTAGAAGTAAAGAAACTCCCGAGGGTCAGCCAGGTCCTGGGCTCTCTCCATGATTCTGGCTGTTTGCCCAGGAACTGAGGGTGGGTGCCCCTGAGTCTCAGTGACCTGGGCAGCCCCAAGCCCACCACAATCACCACCCAGTCCTAATCTGCCCCTAGGAGCCCAGGCTGCACCCTGGAGACCTCAGACCCAGTGCCCTATTGGGACAAGGACCTGACCCTCATGCCCACATATACAACCCATTTCCCTAATGAGTCACTTGGCAGCCTGTGTAGGTACCAGCTCAACCCCATGCAAGTCCCTGGGTTTAACATGTAGCAAGTGGAGGGGGACTTCTCTCCATGTAGGGAGGGCTTAGAGCTCACAGACTTGAGAAGTGAGACTAGAAGAGGGGAGCAGAAAGAGGGGAGTAGACAGAGGCCACAGACATCATATCATTGTCATTACTGTTTTAATTGTCTGGCTTCCCTCTGGACTGGGAGCTCAGTGAGGATTCTGACTAGTAACTTACACAAAAGACACTGTACACATATTATATTTGCTGACTAAATGAATAAGGACTTTCCAACTGCGTTTCTGAGTTTTACAGATGGGAAAACTAAGGCCAGAGGGTAGGAGTGGGGTTCACACAGCTAAGTCTGAAGGGAAACTGGAAGCAGCAACACCTATGCACCTCACCTGGTCTAGGAGGGGTTCAGGACTTGGGCCACCAAACTCTAGGGGCCTGTCCCTCAGACGCAATTGTAGCTGCTCCTAGGCTGTGCTAACCTCTGCCAGAAACCAGCTGTGAGAGTGTGGGCAAAGACAGGAACAGCAGAGGCCAGTGGAGGGGTGGGGACAGGGCCAAGGGAACTTTTGGGCTTGACTCACAAGGCCTGAATCACTGTGTGTGTGTGTGTGTGTGTGTGTGTGTGTGTGTGTGTGTAATGTGAGTGGGGCTGGGAAAATCGGTGCCTTCCAGGAAGGAGTATCCTGTTCTCCCCATGGAATCTTCAGGAGCTGCTGCTCCCAGCCATAGGAAATAGAGCACATAAATATGGAATAAATACATAATCAGTGAGAGAGGCAAAGTGTTGTAAAGAATACCCCAGACCAGCTGGGTCTCTACTGACCCCAGGCTCAGGCCATCAATCACCCCAGGAGAAGGGATCCCAACCCCCACCAGGACCCAGTGAGAGGTAGACAGCACAAATGCTGAAGGAGCACCGAGGGGCCAGGTGGGGTAAGGGAGACACTGGAGTACCCAGCCACCCAAAGCCATCTCATGCAAGAACAAGTTTCTATTCCCAAACAAACCCATCCCCATTAATGCTCAGCTCCGTTCCTGCCCCCATGCCTTCCCTCTGTTCAACAGAGAGCTGGAAGGAGGAGGGCAACTCAATTTGCCAGACATGCTGCTACATGTCCCCAGGCCCCAAGAAGGCTAGCAATGGACACAAACCCTCTGATATTGACGCTCCTCACGGAATGCTCCCGCCCTCTCAACACCCCCAAGAAACACCCAGGAAGCACAGAGCAAACAGCTTCATGTTCTGGGGGCCTATCTGGAGCTTCTGTCCAGGGCCTCTGCCTGCAGCCCTCAACTGACATCACTCTGGCAGCAGACGACCCAGCTCTGCCTCATCCAGCCGGTTGGTGGCCATGATGTGCTCCAGCTGCTGCCGGTAGCGTGCTAAGTCCTGCATGAAGTGGGGCACCCGGGTATTATCCAGCACCCCATGGGGCCGCAGGTGGTCCACATCCTCATAGGACACCTGCAGGAGGAAGCTGGGCATCAGGCATAGGCAGTAGCCCCTGACTTTCAGGTGGCCGGTCCCAGCCCACTGCTTACAGCTTATTGCCCTTTGGTCCGCGACTCCTTCCTCTCCCCTCCTGATCCACAAGCAGCTACAACGTTTTGTACTACAACATTCTAGGCTCAATCCTGGGTCTTTGCTTTTTCTCTTAATAGTTTCTGTCAGAGATCTCCTACGACCCCACTCCTCTCTCCAGCCCAGCCTCTCCCCTCACCTCCAAACATGGGCATCCAACTGCCTCCTTAACGTCTTCCCCTGGATAGCCCTCAGACTGGCCCCATATCCAACGGTCAACTCCTGGGTGCCAGCTTATGCTAGCTCCACCCTCTTCACAGTCACCCAGGTCAGATTCCAGGGAGGGGGCTTGGACTCTCACCCTCCCATCAGGGAAGCCACTGAGTTAAAAGGATTCCCCTCTCTGAAGAGTCCTCCAGCTAGTCCCTTCCTCTCAAACCCCATGGCCACTGCCTGGTTATGCCAGACCACCATCCCTTCTGCAGGAGTGACAGGAAAGGCCTCCTCCTCATGCCCTTTCCCTCCCTTCCCTAGGCCTCTCTCCAATCCACCTCCCATAAAACATCCAGAGGGCACCTTCTAAAGCAAATTATCAGTGCCACTCCTCTGCTTAAAGCGCCTCCCGCCGGGCGCGGTGGCTCACGCCTATAATCCCAGCACTTTGGGAGGCCAAGGCGGGTGGATCACGAGGTCAAGAGATGGAGACCATCCTGGTCAACAAGGTGAAACCCCGTCTCTAGTAAAAATACAAAAAAATTAGCTGGGCATGGTGGTGTATGCCTGTAGTCCCAGCTACTCGGGAGGCTGAGGCAGGAGAATTGCTTGAACCCAGAAGTCGGAGGTTGCAGTGAGCCGAGATCGTGCCATTGCACTCCAGTCTGGGTAACAACAGAGAAACTCCGTCTCAAAAAAATAAATAAATAAAAATTAAAAAAAAAAAAAAGCTCCTCCCACTCCCTGTTGCTTCAGATGAGGTCTACATTCCTTGGCCTGGCACAAATGCCAGTGCGCCAGTACCAGGGAGTTGGTCAATGTCCTTTTCTGCAGCCTCCTTCCCCTGGCCTTCCTGATTGCTCCCTTGGCCTAGAATGTTCACCTCCTTTGAGATGCAGTTTCTAAACACACCTGCAGCCTCCATTAGGCATATGATTTTAGCTGTCAGAGTCATTTCATCTCCTGTTCTCACTTCCACCCACGCTTCCCCCGCCAGCAGAGGCCTGACACCCAACCCTCAGTCCAGCACCAATCTGAGGCTCAGGGTATACTATGGCAAAGCAGGGAGCTGGCTGAGGCTCTCAAGGTCCAATCCCTCACCTTGCCCAGTGAGGTCAGCAGCGGGAAATCAATGGTCTGGCGATGTCGCAGAATGCGCACGATGCCGTCTAGGTACACCTGGTCCTTGCTGAAACAACCTGGGAGCGCGGGAAGTCGGTGAGCCTGGCCACTCGCCCGAGGCCCTACCTCTAGACCCACCCCACCCTAGGCACCTCCCCTACGCTGGCGCCCACCCGGAAGCGAGGTGTCTGTCTGGCCGCGCTTGGCGCGCACGCAGTACTCCCAGCGCACGTTGGCGTCCTGCACGTAGCGCGCTAGGTCCTGGAAGAGCTGGCGGAAGGACATGCGCGCGGCACGGTGGATGGTGTAGTAGAGAAGCGCGGCGCGCCACAGGAACGGCTGCTTGCGGAACAGCACGCTGTGCAGGCTGGCCAGGCCCTCCTCTGTGGGGTTCGCCGGCCGCAGCCCATACCGCAACCGGCCCTCCGCGTTGTGCCACGGCTGGCGCGCGTTGTTCACGCCCCGCAAGTAGTGGGTGCCTGCGGGGAGGGCGAGAACAGGCGGCGCTGGGCGGGGCGTTTGGGGACCCCCCTGCGAGCCCAGCCCAGGCCCTCCTCCAACCCGCCGGGCTCTGGCCGCGACATTTCCATCTTCATGCTCCCGAACTCAGGCTACAACACAATCTCTCCCAGCCCTAAGCAGCGTGAAGCCCCTCCTCCAGTAGACTCGCACCCAAGGATCCACAGAGGCTCACATACATGAATCCTCTCCCATCCATCTGCCCCCAGCCCTACACACACACCCCTACGCACGTGTACGAACTCTCCCGAACTGACATTGCCCCCAGCCCTCCGGAGCACAAGAATACATATACCACCCTGCCCAACATCCTGGGTGTCCATATCATTTTGAACAGTCACGCTGATGACCCTGGTAAAGAACACCTCTTGCCCAGAGCAACAGGATTGTCGAGGAAGAGGGACAGTCGAGGAAGAGGGACAGACAGATAGGAGTAGTGGTTAGTGCCCAGCCTGGCGTGTCCTCTCCTAAACCAGGCCCCGTGTATCCTCAAGCCAAGTCCACTCCCAGGAGCTGGCCTTCCACCCTGGAGGGCCCATGTGGTGGCTAGCCTGATGGGACCCTGAGGGTTCTCCCTCTGGCCTGTCAGGGCCTCATCAGCCTTGCCCCCACTGCCAAGACAAGTCAGAGAGGAAGGAGAGAGAAAAATATACCCCAAAGGAGCAAGAGATGAGGGCGAGCCCAGAGCGTGGGCAGGCATGTTCTGGCCTACCTCTGCGAGCCAAAGGGAGGAGGTGGCTGCTCAGGAAGGGAAAGCCCCGACCTCAGGAGGGAAGGGGGAGAAACAAAAAGGGGAGTTACTGGGGTCCCTCCTTCCCACCCCCCCACCTCCCAGGCCCCTTTCATGCCTACCCACCCACCCAGATGTTCACATCCTGACCTATCTCATGCCGCAGCATGCCCTCCAACCAGTACTGGCGGGCTCCGGTCAGGTTGATCGCTAATGTGGGCCGGCTGTTCTCCACCATCATCACTGCCTGGGACAGCAGGTCCTCACTCAGCTGCACCACAACCTGCAGGTGGCAGTGCTCTGAGCCACGGCCACCAGTTTGGGGCCAGGATGCAGGAGGACCCAATGATACCACAGGGCAGTGGGGCCAGACACTTGGCCAGGACACCTGCCCTCCATCACCTCTGCTCAGAAACAGCTCCCACCTCACTGGGGCAGGGGCAGGAGCAGGGGTTGGTCAGGTGTTGAGCTTGCCTGGGACCACCCACAAGACATCCTGATTTGGGGCATGTAGAGGAAGGGCTCTGCAGGCAGGACAAGCTCACCTCCCCAACGCAGCCCTCCTTCTGCATGTATTTGCGCACAATGGACCATATCTGGCACTTGGTGAGCAGCTGCCCCCCGGTGGCAGCCTCAAAGTGTTCATAGGTTCCAAACTTCTCCAGAACAGCCTCAATGATGCCAACTGCCTGTACACAGGGCCACAGTGGCTGGTCAGGACAAGCCCCTTGGGTGGTCAGGGCCAGGGTGTGGTGGGCAGGCTGGACTGACCTGATGGATGAACTGTCCAGAAGCCTCACAGTACTTCTCCAGCACAGCAGTGGGCACAGGCTCCTGGTACTCGAACTGTGGATTGTAGGTGTAATGGGACTGGAAGAACTTGTCTCGCTCACGGTCCATGTTGGTTGGCCGCAGGGCCACCAACATGCAGGGGCTCTTGCTGGCACCATGGCCTGCATCCCTTTGAGTCTTAGCAATGTGAGGCAGGGAGGCTGCAGGCCGCAGGGTGCCCCCACCTGGGTTCCGTCCCCGTCCAGGTGGAGGCCGTCCCAGGGTGCCACGCCCCCGCCGGCCAGCACTATTTACAGTGTAGGTGCTCTCACTGCGACGCATGTGGCCACGGTGGCCCAAGTGCGGCTGTGAGAAGGGCTGCTGCTCAGGCTGGGGCTGCAG